CCAGTATCACCAAAACAAAAAATCAGCCCAGGATCCCCATCTTGTGCTAATTCCCCCCCCCATCCAATGAATCCAGGCTCTGCAGAGACCAATGAGTCCCTGCTTACTTAGAACATCTTCAAGTTAGCACTGAAAATCCTATGCCTTAGGAAACCCCTCAGTCCTCAGCAAACAGGATCAGCTGATCACCCCACCAGTCCCTTTTGCACTCTGAAATCATCCCCCAAGTAAGTCCCCTCAAGTCAACTCCTTGTCTCAGGCTATTTTTGAAAGGGAACTGGAGCAAGGACTATTTAGGTCTCAACAGAGCACCTGCTGGTCTGAGATAATCAGCTAACAAATAGTAGCTGGCTATGGACCTCCACACTGCATCAGGGAGTGAAAGCATAGTTTCTGGTCATGGTTGTCAGGTAGTTTGGGTTTGTGTGATGACTGCACAGGAGACATGTTTGCGAGCCACTGAGAGACAGACAGTGGAGCTTTGCGCCACTGTCTCTTGGAATGAACACTTGTAGTCTGGGTTAGAGTATTATCTGATTTGAAGCCAGAATGTTGTCTTTCTATTTGTATTAAGGCCCAGCTAAGTTAATTTTCTCTAGTGGCTGGAAGAGGCAAAATTCTGGACCAGCAATATTTTTTTCTCCTTTAACAGGGAACTCATGCCCCCTACAGGATAAATAATGTATGTGTCAGTTCTGGGACTACTTGGGTACCTTTTTCTGAATATAGGCAACATTTCTTTCTTTTTCTAGACCAAAGGGGGTGTGGGGAAAGCTTAATCTTTAGGTTGTCCAATAATGTAACAGTTTCCTTTGTTTAACTACTGTTCTGTTACAACCCAGCCTACTGGGGTTGGTGTGGTATGAACTGGAAAATCGGGAGTGGGAAATGTAAGAAGATTCTGAAATCCAATGGCTACTTTAGCTTGCTTGTTTCTGGAGGGCTGGTCTATACATACATATATATATATATATACATATATATATATATACATATATATATGTATATATATACATATATATACATATATATGTATATATATATGTATATATATACATATATATATGTATATATATATAAACATATATATGTATATATATATATATATATAATGGAAGACAAATGAGTTTGATGTCAAAGATACTTTGGAATTAATGAGGCCTCCTCTTATAAGGTTGTAGAAAACATAACTGTAATGTTTCTCAACCTCTGTGGATTTTCTATTTTGATTGGTTTTGAGAGACCACTGAGAACTTATATAAATCTAAGATAAAGCGACTCCATATCTCCCCAGAGGAAAAAAATGAACAAATCAAGCCTCACTGCCAATCTTGAAACATGTCAGCACTTTATGAAAAGCTTTTCAGGCTGAGAGAACAATAAAAGACAACCTTCTAAATAGCAGAACACCGTGTTTACAAAGAGACTTGAGCTGTAAATTGCACTCTGTCATCTTTGTTAATACATTAAATAGATTAAAGAAATTAGGGTTTAAAAAGAGGATGCTTATAACAGTTTTCTACGTTAAAAAATAACTTCTAATTGAAAAAAGCCACTAAAATTGATTTTAAAACTTTGGGTAACAGGTAAATGTCACATTCTTATAAGAATAAAACAAAATACCGTATGTATAAGTAACCTAGAAAAATAAACTAGGTTAATACGAATTTAAACATTATTTTTGCTTTCAAATATAAGCCCTTTTTCGAATGTTTTTGGCTGTGATAAGAAAAAAAAATCTAATCTTGGCTTAATGGCCTCAAGGTTCCTGCTGAGTTCAAAAATAAATATGCAGATCAGACCCAGTAGTATGCAAATTCCTATCAGGTCAAAAATTGTTAGTCATAAAGATTTTAAGAGACCTTCTAATCAAGATCTAAGCAATTCTATTCCACTTGTCCCTCAGAATCTGTGGCTGGTTCCCGAATCCATCTTGGACACAAAAATCTATGGATGCTCACATCCAGGATATAGCTATTTGTATGCACTTCTTGCTTCAAGTCACCTCTAAATGACTTACAAAACCTAATACAGTTGGGCACTGGTGGCTCACACCTGTAATCCTAGCTACACAGGAGGCTGAGAACTGAGGACAGCATTGGAAGTCAGCCTGGGCAGAAAAGCCCTGTGAGACTCTTATGTCCAATTAACCCTTTGAACATCAGAAGTGGTGCTGTGGCTCAAATTAGTAGAGTGCTAGTCTTGAGTGAAAGAGCTCAGGGACAGAGTGAAGGCACTGAGTGAAGGGGGAGGGGGAAACCTAATACAATGTAAATGTTGTATAAATAGCAATACTCCATATTGCTTAGGGATACAACAAGAAAACAGTCTATGTGTGTTCAGTATAGACACAGCCTCCCCGTATTGTGTGTGATGTGTCTCTGTGTATATGTATGTATGTATATGTTTATATGTATATACACACGTGTGTGTGTATGTGTGTGTGTGTCTGTGTTGAGTCTCTCCCTCTTTTTCCTCTTCTTCTAAATATTTTTACTCCACTGCTTGCTGGATCCACAGATATAGATGGCCATCTATGTTCTGCAACACAAATATAAGAAGCCCTTGAGCAGCCAGGCACCAGTGGCTCACATCTGTAATCCTCTACTCCGAAGGATGAGATATAGGATCATGGTTCAAAGTCAAGCCGGTCATGAAAGTCCAGAGATTCTGATCTCCAATTAATCACACACAAAAAAATCAGACATAGAGCTATGACTCAAGTGGTAGAGCACTAAACTTGAACAAATCGCAAGGACAGCACCCAGGCCCTGAGTTCAAGCCCCAATACTGGCACCAACAAAAAGAAAGAAAAGAAAGAGAGAGAGGAAAAAAAGAAGGAGAGAGAAAGAAAGAAAGAAAGAGAGAGAGAGGAAGGAAGGAAGGAAGGAAAAAGGAAGGAAGGAAGGAAGGAAGGAAAGAAGGGAGAAAGGGAGGGAGGAAGGAAGGAAGGAGCCCTGTGCTCTGTCTCAGCCAGGTTGCTTCCTCTGAAGTCTGGGGATCTGTGGCTTGTGGGACTTCCTTTTGCTGCTCTGGCACAGGACACCCTCACCCTGCTTCTAAACAATCAAACACAAAGATATTCAGTTAGTTTTCCTTTGTATTGTCTTATTGGGATCAAGTTTCTGTTTTTCTTTTCCAAAATTCTCTTTTTCTAAAGCAATTTGGGCTTGATTTAATTATCTGGAGAATCTGTGGATAAAAGATCATGTGTAGTAGAGCACGGGTGTTGCTCTGCAACTTTTTCATCTTAGTCTGCTCCGAGATGCTCTCCCTTTATCTTAATGATCACCTCTGACACAGGTCTAGGGAAACAAAGTAATGGCCTGCATGAAATCCACATCACATTGGAGGACTTTTAGGTATTCAGGAAGGCCAGGGTTAAATGTACAATGCGCCCCCTGGTGGCATGTGAAATGCTAATGAGCAAACCCAGGGATGGGTACATTCTGGTGAAGGTGGCCAAGATATCAAGACTCCAGACAAGGGCTGAGTTTCATTCTCTTGATTCAACAGTTTTTTGTTTTGTTTTGCTTTGTTGTCGGTAGTGGGGCCTGAACTCTAGGCCTGGGCGCTGCCCCTGAACTCTTCAGCTCAAGACCAGCCCTCTGTGACTTGCACCACAACACCATTTGCAGTTTTCTGGTGATGAATTGGAGATAAGAGTCTCATAGACTTTCCTGCCCAGGTGGCTTTGAACCCCGATCCTCAGATCTCAGCATCCTGAGTAGCTAGGATTACAGGTTTGAGCCACCAAAGCTTGCTTAAGTGAGGTATTTTTAGCTTTGACTGGGGTCCCATTGTTTCACAGTACTGGGTTCATAGGTTGATAGACCTCAAGCAGGTAGTGGCTCACCCTTTGTTGACTTCTCTGGGATCAACATCGGCTGGAGATGACGTACCTGTTCAGGCCACTCTTACCTGTATTTGCTGCTTCCCTAGGGAAAAAATTATTTGAGCATTCAATTTGCATAGCAAGTTAGCAGGGTGGCCCACAACTGATTCTAACTGCTCAGAAGGCTAAGACCTAAGGATCTCTGTTAGAAGCCAGTCCAAGCAGAAAAGTCCAAGAGACTCATCTCCAGTTAGCCAGCAAAACAAACAAACATACAAACTAACAAAAAAACAGAAGTGGAGCTGTGGCTCAAGTAGTGTCATCCTTGAGCAGAAAAGCTAAGCAAGAATGCACAGGCCCTGAGTTCAAGCCCCTGTACTGAGTTACATACACAAAAAGAGACCCTTTGCTTTGCTTTTCCTCCTAAGTAAACAAAGTTCGATATTTTTCTTTCACTTTTTGCTGTCTATAAATTTCGTTCTTCAAGACAAAAGACTTCAGATTACTTCTGAGCGAAACTATGCCAGTCCGTACCTGGTCTTCTTTTTCTAGTTAGCAACTGTAATTTCTCAATACTCTTTTATTTCAGAGATCCCTCTGTAGTCAAGAGTTTTGATTTAACAAAAATTAGGAGAAAGCCTGGCACCAGTGTTTCATGCCTGTAATCCTAGCTATTCAGAAGGCTGAGATCTGAGGATCACGGTTCAAAGCCACCCCATGCAGGAAAGTCTGTGAGACTCATCTCCAGTTAAAAACCAAAAGCAAGAGTGGGACTGTTGGGGCTGGGAAGGTGGCTCAGTGGTAGAGTGCTTGTCTTGCATACATGAGGCCCTGGGTTCAATTCCCTAGCACCACAAAATCAGAAAAAGCCGGAAGTGATGCTGTGGCTCAAGTGGTAGAGCGCTTGCCTTGAGCTGAAGAGTTCAGGGACAGTGCCCAGGCCCAGAGTGGTAGAGCGCTTGCCTTGAGCTGAAGAGTTCAGGGACAGTGCCCAGGCCCAGAGTTCAGGCCCCACGGCCAACCGGAAAAGAAAAAAAAAGTGGGACTGTGGCTCAAATGGTAAAGCACTAGTCTTGAGCACGAATGCTCAGGGACAGTACCTAAGCCCTAAATTCAAACTTTAGTTGTTTTTTTTTTTTTTTTAATTTAAAAAATTTTAGGGGAAGGCCAGCCGCGACCCGCGGAGAAGCTGCATCACCTTCCTCGCCCGCCTGGCCTTCCCCGCCGACACCATGCTGCAGTTCCTGCTTGGATTTACTTTGGGCAACGTGGTTGGAATGTATCTGGCTCAGAACTATGATATACCAAACCTGGCTAAAAAAATTGAAGAGATCAAAAAGGACTTGGAAGCCAAGAAGAAACCCCCTAGTTCCTGAGGCCCCTTCCAGCACTGCAGTCTGGATACAATGATTCTGCCCAGCCGCCTATGCAGAGCTCCTTTAACTCCTGACCCAAAGCTTCTGTTCTTATCTTGTCTCAGCCATTTCTTCCTTGCTGGACCCTACGTATTTCCTGAGAGCAGAAAATGGGGCCCAGTTCAGAACTCCTTTCTGCTCCCAACAGCCTGGCTTCTCCCTGTCTTCCTTCTGTCTACTTGGTAGGTTCTAAGGCTGGAATTATGGGGCTAGATTAGCAAACAAGACATTTAAGTTGTAGCTGCTTCTTGTTTCTACTACTTTTTATCAAAAGAAAAATGGATGAGTTTTGTATAGGTGATCAGATAAAAGTAATGCTGATTTTGTAGTTTAGCAATTATGATGGGTGCTTGTTAAACACTTGTTACTAAATTTTGTTGCCTCAAAGTAATTAAAATTAATGTATAGAAGCCAGTTTATGGTTAAGTATCCATTTATTTTATACTTTTGTCAGTCAGTTCCACAGTTGATAATTTAACCCATAAATCAATTAGTCGTTTGCTGAGAAATTATATTTTGAGAGTCCTATCAAAATTGGGAATTTTCAAAAAATGCAAAACAGTTCCTTTTGTCTCAGTAGAATTCACAGTTTATTTAGTATACATTTATTTCTTTCATGATAAATTTGTTCTGAAGAATTGTTCTTGAGACTGCAGATGCTTTTGATGTTACGTGATGGATAAATGAGAAGTTCTTGGTAAAGGAAGTGTTAACAACTTTTCACATTAAAAATGTATTTACATTATAAAAATTTTTTTTAATTTATTTTATTTGTGAACATACTGTACAGAGGGGTTACAATTACATGGGCAGGATAATGCGTACATTTCCTACCAAGCATTGCAGCCTCCTCCTTT